ACTCTGTAGGCACCACAACAAAGTTCAGACCAAGTTTTAAGCGATTTTTCAACGAACAAACCCATTTAAATCAGAATGACTAAACGAGGTGACGTCACACTAACGGTCGCTCCATGTTGAAGATAGGGCCTTGCGCAAGGCCCATTTTCAAATGAAGGGAACGAATTTCTTCAACACCAAGAGGCCGCGGGGGTTGCAACCTAGATAGATAGTGGTTTCTGAACCTCGCCGCAAACTTGGCTATCTCAACTCAAATCCCATGTTAAAGGAAAAGGGCCACCTTTAACATGGGGATTGAAACTGAGATAGCCATCTTGTAGCCCGTGTCCGAAAACCAGTCTGTCTACCTCCTTACGGCCGATTTCGGCCTCCATTCGTAGTTATCGCCCCGATAAGTTATCGGCAATTTTAAAAGAAAATACGCCAGGAATGCGTCCTTATCCCAGGAATGCGTTCTTATCCGACAATACAGCCACCCGCGGCGAGGCTTTGGTTTTTTACCAATCAGCTCCAACCAGCTCAGCTTTAACCAATCAGCTTATCTGACACAATCCGACGAGCCTGTCTTCTGAACGCTGATTGGCTTGAGTGTGACGTCATCGCTATGCCATCATACAGTAGGTGCCGTAGAGAGTATCAACATAGTACCAATATGTTAAATAGTTTTAAATACTTTTTCGCGAATTGTGCACTTCTGGCACCAGTTTTAAAAAGAAAATGAAAAATAATAATGTCAAAATGAAAAACAACGATATCTTCATATTTCACGAAGGTGGCCCTTTTCCTTTAAAGGTGGGATAGTCCCTTTAAACCTCACGGACACGGTGCACACACACACCACTCATCACCTAATTTGGTCAGAGAACAACGCATTGCGCTAAAGCAAGGTATAATTGAGCGTTAACCATCCCGGCATGTGAAGCGTTAGACAATAGTTAATCAAAATACATGAAAGTTGTTAGCCTGATGCGCACTATACCTAAAACAACGCTTTGGTGCATAATAGCCGTTTTCACGACGGGCTATCCAGAGGCGGATCCAGCTCAGAGTTTTTTTTTTGGGGGGGGAGCAAACCATAACAATTTATCGATTCTTTCCATGCCTCGTCCATAGGCGTAATGTTAAAGTTATGCCGTTTGGGGGGGGGGGCAAATGCCCATTTTGCCGCCCCCCCCCCCTAGATCCGCCACTAGGCTATCCGGCGAGTGCACCTGATTTGACCAAATCTGCAGCTAATTTCTTTTACAGCAAATATTTTATGAATTTATTTCAGTGTTTTAACCCTCGCCGGCCGAGGGGGGGGGGCGGGTGCCGCCCCCCCCCCATAGGGTTTTTTCGCGATAGCTCCGAACACGCTGGCGATAGAGAGCTGAAACTTGGCATACCTGACCTTTGATCCAAGCCGCATCTTTTGACACCAACCGCATTTTTGGGTCAGGTCAGGTCACTGACCTATGACGTCATAAGTGAACCTCTGCACGGTCTTCAGATGTCGCAACTTCGCAACGCCCTCACTGCCAGAGGAGATGTCACAGGGAAATGAAACTTGCAGGATCTAGTATCCATTATGAGTCCCACAACTTGTATATCTCGGATTTTTCCTAAAGGTCATATGAGGTCAGATCATTTTCGTGACCTCACCATTATAAGTCAATGGGGAAAAATGAAAACTGCTATTCTGGCGCCGGGAACGATCTCCAACTATCTCAAGCACACAGAATCGTGATTTGATGCACTCCTTGCAAGGTTAGATGCGTCACTTTTGCAATGTTGACCTTGCGTGACGTCATTTATGACGTCATCAAGGTCAAATTAGTTTTTCGTCAATAACTCCCGATCAAATTGAGCTAGCGAGTCGGGGAAGGCACCAATGGACTCAGGAAGGCCTGCCGAATCGAATGATATGCGACATGACCTCTTTCGACCAACTTCGTGACCTGGGGGTGCTGACCTGACCTTGACCTGAGGTCAACACCCCAAGTTGACCTGACCCGGACAAAAAGTATATCATTCGACGCGCCTGAGCGAGGCGAACACGATGCTGCCAAAATCGGCGCTCTGCGGCTGTTTTTTGCGAAGTTATTCCCCAAAAACTGAACCGTACCTTGGGGCACTTGACCTGACCTCAGAGGTCACCGGTTGACCTAGGACCTTAAAATCGGGTACCAATCGCTGCGTCTCGTAACGGCGCACACGCTCGTTTTTTCCGCGACGCGCTAGCTCCACCAGGGGCGAAACGGCGAGGGGGGGTCGTACCCGCCCCCCCCCCCCCCCCCTCGGCCGGCGCGTATGTAGAAAACCAATAGGTCCGGCGAGGGTTAACCCGCGCCCCGTAGGGCTACCGGCGGACCCTACCACCCGTAGGGGGGGGGGCGTTTCGGCCCCCCCCTAAGATCTCGGAAAGTTACCGGCCGATTTTCAAAATTCAAACGACGTTCGATAGCCCCACCCGGGAACTACCTTGTGACCAAATTTCATTGACCTAGGTCAAACCGATGACGTCACAGGTCAGGTCAAAGGTCAGTTTTCACCGTTCACAGGCATTTCAAGAAATGTGTTGTGAAATCGAGTACATTGGTAATTTATTGAAAACCATCGATGGTATATTGTTCGTCAAACACATACTTCGCTATCTGAGGTCACTGATACCAGGTCAGGTCACAGCGAGGTCAGGTCACCGGGGGTCACAATATGAAAGTGTCGTGTGATACATGTTTTATGGTCCATTTTACATGACAAATGCGATTATGTGGGTTAGGCAGCCTTTGGGGCCAGCCTAGGTCACGTTTTGGTGAAGGTCAGGTCAAGGTCAGGTCAAATTAGGTCAAATTTCAAAGTTGATATTTTTGCATAAAATGGGCATCGTTTCGATGCAGCTCGTCACGGGGAGTCTAATGGGGGTGGTCTTTATTTTGCTCTACGAGGTCTAGAATTGCCAAAAATTGAGGTTGAAAATTTGACGTCATCATTTTTGAACAGTTTTTTTTTTCGCTATAACTTGGCCAAAAAACGAGGTATCGATCTGAAATTTAGTATGTAGATAGAAGACGGTAGGCACTATCACATTTATTCCGTTTTTTTTCGAAACTCAAAAAACTTTTTGGATTTTTTGGCTAATATATCCAAAAAAATGTTTTATTCTTATTTTTGGGGGTCAAAACTCAAAAATTTTAAAAATCCGAGATGGGAGTTTTGTAGCCCTGTCAATTCTACACCTTTTGTGTTCGATCATTTTTCTGTAACTTCAAAGCTGTAGGCCTGACAGGTCTTCTCGCGAAGGTCTTTTTTCGGTCGAAAATGACAGAACATGACGTCATTCTGACGTCGTTTGTGGCCAACCTATCATAGCCTCTGGAAACATTTTTAGTCACAATGTGTAAAATTGATGCCCGGAGGGGTCCTGAAAGTTTGGTGGCGATATCTCCAGCCGTTTAGGAGATATCGACCGAAAAGGACAGGGGGGGCCGTTTCGCCCCCCCCCCCTACGGGGCGCGGGTCGATGATACTCTCTGATATGACAAAGCAGGCATAGGTATGAGCAAATAGTGCAACCCTAGCTGATAGCTACTAAGAGACACACTGAACCTGATTTGACCAAATCTGCACCTGTCTGCACCAGATGTGCACCAAATGTGTACCAGATGGCCGTCGTGAAAACGGCTAATCAACACAAAATATAAAAATTACTCCAAAAACAAGATTTTTGGCTGTAGCTGCATATAGAAGCATTGCAATGCCTCTCCAGTCCGCTCATAGGTATAATGAGCATTAAGTGTATGTTTTATATAAGAGAGGATATTTCCCCAGAACCTTGCCAGTTCCGAGAAGCATCGGTAAGGCGTTTTACCTCGGCGGGGCGACTTGTCCCGGTCTATATACCCAAAATTTGGCGCGCCTGCGGCGTGCTGATTTTTAACTACAGCGCAGCGCAAAAGAGTGTGTGTGTGTGTGTGTGTGGGGGGGGGGGGTGGTGGTAACTCACGGACTAATCAGAAGCTCCACCCGGTTTACCCTCCCCCCCCCCCACACACACACAAGTAATGATGCTGTCATGATGCGTGAGTTTCGTTTCTTGACCTTTGCCCATTATTCAAAAATAGATAAGCGAGCAATACAAATGTAAGTACTTTCGTGGGTCATTTTCAAAGACCTTCACCCCTTCTCGCTACGTAGCCCGAGAGCCGAGTTAGGAGAATGAGTAAAACCGTCCCCGTCGTTAAATACATAAGCAATTCATGAAAAACGTAAAATAAGGTTTTCTTCAGTCGATGTGTAACGATCGGACCAACAAGCAACATACGATTGAATTGTTATATGTTATAAGTGTCTTTGATAAAACAAGCGCCGATGCGTAATAAAGTCACTGTGCCGGTTGACAAAACCACTTATAGGTAACAATCAAAATCACATTATAGCTACGAACTTCAGATATGCGGAATGCGACACATGCGTGAACTTACGTCAACAGATGCCCACATCTCTTGTAGTGTATCAGTAGGTACGTACACGAAAAAAATGCAGTGCTCAGGGGAGAGCGCCTAAGTTAATTGCCAAACGACTGGGGAAAGCATAATTTTTTCAAAATTCGAAAAGAAGATCAAATCCGGTGACCCCATCCAATACAAATTCGTCCCGTATGTGCTGCGCATCGAGCTACCACGGCCCAGGTGTATGTACAGTCCACAGCAGAAGTAATGTGTGGTTTCAGTCATGGGTATGTTCTGCTTCTGAAGCCTAGGAACGATCAGCCAGACTGCAACGAGACTTTAAATGTAGCTTACTTACATGTATCTTCACCCTTGCAGCTACAACTTTATCTATTGACGTCTTCTTTTCAATCAGTCCGCATTTAACAATCGTCGGTCAAAGCCATCCGTTGAGATCGGTAAAACCACACATTACTTAAGCGGTGGGCTGTACTTCCACAGTCCGGCCTTGGTCCGCTGTGCAGCGACAGCCGGCTGCACGTGGACGCGGCCGCTGCGCCCGAGGCGCCTAGCGATGGCGCGCCGCGCTGCTTTATAATGAGCTGGTGGCCGCGCAGCCGGCCATTCAAGGGCTGCACGCCCTCAGTGCCGTCGCCCGTTCCGGAGAGCATTGAAAAGACAGGGAGCATCGACTGGACACAGGACTCCGGGGACAGCGGCCGCACAGGACTCCAGAGACATCGGCCCGACACGACTTGATTCCCGAGGTTCAGCCATGATGATCAGCATAGCAGTCGTGTTTCTATCGGTAAGTACTGTGGTCACTTAACCATATCACTCTTCGCCGGGCCTGCTGAGTGACAATCATGATGCTGTCTCATCAGTCAGTTCATCAATACCCAGTACCCACTCATCACTGATCAGTAATCGGTAGGCATGAGTCTTTCTTCCACACCGCCTGCCGCCGCCCCCGTTACCATGCTGCCCCACCGACTGAGTATGCCCCTCTCTGTGGCGGTAGCTGGGCACAGCGCTCGCCGCCCCGTCCGACCCGCTGCTGGAGAGCGTGCTGCGCCTCAAACGTCAGCTGCAGCTCCGGCACAGCCACCTGTCACCGGCCGCCGGCCGCGCGCCTCGGCTCTCCAAGCAGCTGGAGGACCTCAGCCCGCCGCCAGGTCAGTCTCAAGTGTAGACTTACAGAGGAGGCCACTTCGAAACTATTATCGGCTGATATGTGATAGAGTTCATTGAAGCGGTTTCTAGATTTCGATTGTTTACGAATTTCTTCCTGCGCTAGTGGTGCGAGTCTTAAATCTTGCGTCAAGTTTCCATATTTCGTTTTCGATAACCCTCGTCTTCTACAATTCGTCAGACTACGGAGGGGCACGCCATTTCATTTCATAAACTCGTTCGTAACCAATCATGAACAATAATAGTATTCTTTTATTTATCTAGAACTGCATAAGGAATCAGCTGCAACGCGTCTGATTCGGTGTGACGGTGTCTTCTGTGATGTTAGCACTTCGTCAATTGTGCTCCAAAGTCGTGCATTGTGTTGTGCTTCTCGATGCATTGTTTTCATCCATTAGATGTCTTCCTCCAAACAGCGTCCCTCTGAGCAGCGTTCTTCCAGTTGCTCAGTCACAGCGTGTTCTCTGCGCAGCGCCCTCCAATGCAGCGCTCCTCGGCGCAGTGGTGTTTGTTAATAGGTCCAGTCTTTTTTCTTTCTTTTGTTAATTAGGTGCTTCGGTCCAATCGGACCATTGCGCACCATAATAGGTCCAGTGCAGTTCATTTGGTGCCTCGTGTCCCTGAGCGCAGTGTTGCTCCTTCCCCGGCACCCCTGTATCTATCTGAGCGCGGTCGCCCCCGCAGCGGACCTCCCGCTGAGCGGCCGCCGAGTACGGCTGGTCGGCGGCGCCGGGCCGTGGCAGGGCGTCGTCCAGGTCTACTTCGCCTCCGCCTGGCGCTCGGTCGTCGCCAACCGGTGGACTGAGGACGAGGCTGCCGTCGTCTGCCGTCAGCTGGGACACGTCAGGTTAGACACGCGAACCATCATTTTATTTTATCTGTTCACCATATCAGCCATGAGCCACGGGATATGCCCATTTATTGCCAGTCGCAGCACATAAAGCTACACAGCCCTGATAAAATTGGCTCCATTGCTAAAGCACAAACAAGAATAAATATTAAATACCCAAATGTTAGCGTGTAAACATCTCAAAAGGTATGAGAACCACCAGTCTTCACATGCCTTATAAGACAGGACATAATGCTAGACAGAGAACAATCAAATAAATATGTCGACCTATTGACATCGCTGCAAGAACTCGTTTATCATCCTGCAGGGAAGCCTACTGCCTACAGATTATGCCCGCTTTCATTTTCTCCTTCAGCGTAAGATACCGCGAGAAAAGTATATGGTCCGGTAATGCAGGGCGGAACGGCCAAGCCGAAGTGCGACCGCAAGAAGCTGAAGTCAATGCTGTTTTACAACATAACATCTAATTGACAGGAACAGCCCTGTCAATGACTGTTCCTGATAGGTCTAAACACGCCTAATCAGACGTCATTCGACAGGAAGCATTGTACCCGAATACCTACAAAATTTGCCAGGTAGCATTCCGTACCCCTCAGTAAACAATTAAGTTTTAATATAATATATTCTCACATTCCCTGTTGCAGCTACTTCCGGGAGGCGCCGTTGCCGACTGCCGATCTCACAAACTCCAGCGTCGCTGCCGACCCGGCCCCGGTGGGCATCCACAAGTGCTCGGGCCGCGAGGCCTCACTGCTCGACTGCGAGAAGGCCGACGTGGACAGTCCGCCGCGCCCCGTTCAGGTCAACTGTCTGGCCGAGGACGACCTGTCGTCGGGCCGGCGCTGTCCCTCGTCCCAGGTGCCGTTCGGCGACAGCTGCTACTACATCGGCCGCGAGCGGCAGACCCGGCTCAAAGCCGAGCTCGACTGCCGGCGCGTCAAAGGCACATTGGCGGTCATTAACTCCCAGGTATGCTCGACGGCAGTCGATCCAATCGCAGCCAGATATGCTCTCCGATCAGATGGCAGCTCCCTTTGGCCGCCACCTCGGTGATATTACGCATCAACAAACAAGCGTCAGATGGGAGGGGTTGTGATGTTTCTCACACAATTCTTGGCCACAGGCAAACGATATCCGTCTTTCAACAGATTTCGTAAAATAATTAATACACTATGCTTGGTAGGTATATTCGAGTGCTATGCATACAGTTAACGTATGCTAGCTTTTATGGTATTTCGGTAATTTGGACGAAGCCAAAAACTTTATTACCCCATAGATCGCCATCGAGTGCAAAACGTTTCCAATGTAACTTTTTCTTATGAAGGATATTCATGAACTCTCAATACAAGTCAATTATCAATGACATACCTACAATGATGATTTTTTTAGTTGTGTGCCAGTTTCATGTCGATGCAAGGTGTGCCGAATATGGGCTTATCTGGCTGAACATCGGCTGTCTTGACAGACATTGCACGAAGAGCATCGTCACTTTGCTAGAGACGGAGAGTATCTCCTAGACTAAAAGCGTATTGAAATATGTTGCAGCTCGAGAATGATTTTTTGAGTGGCCTGATGAGCTCCAACGACCTGAAGGGCATCCACACCGCCGGCCGGGGTCGTCGCATTGCCAGGAACTCAATCATCTGGAGCTGGGATGGATCCAACGCGCCCTTCTCCTTTACAAAATGGAATCCAGGTAAGAAAATTTGGTGACATTCGTTACATCACATGTGATGAAACATCCATGACGGGAGGGACACTAACTGTTAAAGAGTCCCTAGCGCAAAAATAATTCATTACTGAAAATATCAAAAGTTTCGCGGTGAATTAGAAGAACACTTGACAATAACGTAGTCTTTACGTACCTACCTAGGTACCTACTTACTCTTGACGTACCGCACGAACATGGATAAATTTCATACCTGGCATCGTGCAAATGGCATATATGAATGCACACATATCAATATCGGCGCATCGAAGGCTCAAGGCACTCTTTCCTTTTAAACCTTGAAAGCACCTCTGGCCAGTGGCTGGGGGTTTGGAACGGTTGGGGACAGCAATCTGGATCAATTCATGGATATAAAAGGCGGGAGGACACCGCACATGCGGTGTCGTGTACATGCGTTGCTGGACTGCCACCTGCACGTCATGTCCGTGCCAGATGAGCCGCCGGCGGCCGTCGGAGTGCAGCAGCGCTGCCTCACGCTGGAGGCGCCCGGTGCCGGCACGACCGTCGCCGCCGAGCCCGACTACGGCGTCTGGAGGTCATCCGACTGTAGCCGCAGTCTGCCGTACGTCTGCGAGATCCGGCGCAACTGGACCGGTGAGTGCCCGGCAGAGTCTGCCGCACCAGGCGCACCCCGCCCGGTGAGAGGCCTCAAACAAGGAATGGCTGCCGTGCTACACCAAAACGATACATGATGCGGTGGAATATATTAACTCTGCTATCTCGAGTGCTGCACCTGTGCGGGCCGCCCTGATGCGCCCTCTGCTCAGCCCGGTCAATCGATGCCGTGACAGCGCTCCCGCCCGTGGCTTGACCTCCACCCGCCGCGCCATCTCGCCCGCAGACTGCGCCCGGCCTGTTCCCGGCAGCTTCATTAGCTCAAAGACGACCACCGAGTGGGGTCGGACGTGCCTGCCGTGGTCCGATGTGACTGGCGTGCCGGGCCTCAGCAGTGCCGTTCTCCGCGAAAACTACTGCAGCAACCCGGACGGCGACGAGCGGCCCTGGTGCTTCGTCTCGCCCGACGAGTTCGAGTACTGTTCGGCGTATGACTGCCCGCCGCTGCTGCCACCACCACGTGAGACACAGCCCTCACCCAACTACCGCACAGTGTCCCTCCCGACCGAGCTCTGAACACTCGTCAGGACTACAAGACACAGCCCTCCCCCAACTCCCGCACAGTGTCCCTCCCGACCGAGCTCTGAACACTCGTCAGGACTACACGCGGCGCTGAACAATGAGCAGGCCACCAAACACCCACAGGTGCAGGAGAAGTGCTCAGTTGGTATGAACTATCTTCATATAATCTAGTTGAATAAATGTGCGGCTGTTAACCCGCGCCCTGGTGGGGTCCGTTTCTAACGCAACCTGGTGGTGGGGGGGGGGGCTATTTTTTGCCCCCCCCCCCCGTATCTCCGAATCTACTAGACGGATCAGCAAAATTCAAACGGCGTTCGAAAGCCCTATCAAATTTGTTGAGGGAAACCAATTTAAACCAATTTAACTGACCTCGGGGTAACCGATGACGTCACAGGTCACGTCAAAGATAAAATGTTTGCCGGTCACGGGTCTTCTAGGCCCTAGGGAATGCGCTATAACATCGAGTAAACGCATTTTAGGTATCGAAAATCAGCGATAGGGCGTTAGTTGCCTAGTACATATGTTGCTATTAGAGGTCACTGATAATACCAGGTCAGGTCACAAGCCAGGTCACCAAGGGTCAGCACATGAAACCCAATTTTACTAGGGCTGTGTGATGCATGTTTAATGGCCAATTTTTTATTTCAAACTCAATGGTGTTGGTTATAAGACCATCAGGAACGGAACATCAGTAACACTTTCTGGTGGAGGTCACGTCAAGGTCCGGTCAAAAAAGGTCAAATTTTAAGCTGATATTTTTTGCATAAAATGGGTATTGATTCGATGCAGCTCGTCACGGTGAGTCTACGAGTCTCGTAATGGTGGTCTTTTATTGCGCTACGTGGTCTAGAATTGCTAAAAATGAGTTTGAAAATTTTACGTCATCAATTTTGAACAGTTTTTACGCTATAACTTGGCCAGAAAAAGAGGTATCGATCTAAAATGTGGTATGTGAACAGAAGTTGGTAAGGGCTATCACATACATTCCGGTTTTTTTCGAAAATCGAAAAAGTGTTTGGATTTTTTGGCAATTATATTTTTTTTTAATTAGGGGTCAAAATTAAACAATAAAATCAAAATTCCGAGATAGCAGTTTTGTAGCCCTGCTAATGTTACATCTTTTATGTCTTTTAAGTTTTTCTGTATCTTCAAAGTTACAGGCTTGACAGCTCTTCGCGCGAAACTTTTTTTGGTCGAAAACGGCAGAACATGACGTCTAGTGAAGTCAATTACCGAAAATCGTGATACCGATACCAAACAAAAAACCAACAATATCCATTTAAAAATACCGAAACCGAACCGACTTGGGAAATATGTGGAAAATAATAACAACTTGTTACCAAATTCTCAGCCACTTTTACATTAGTGAGGATTCATAATGTTAAACGCTGAGCTCCTCTCCTCCTTTATTCGTCTCTCGTCCATCCACCTCGGCTCTCGTCCACCGACTGCCCACTCCCCAGGTCACCGACCAGCACCGGCCGCCCCGCGTCCGGTCGCGGTGCATGCGCCGCGCGGTCCGGTCAGCTGGACCGACGGCCCGCCCAGCACTCACCGACGCACCGAAGGCCCGCCCGACATCGAGCGGACCCGCTCAAACGGCGAAAATGGACCAAAGTCCCACAATAATACCAACAAAATACCAAATGCGCTCGCCTTGAAATACCAAATATCAAGTTGGTATCGGTATACCAAACAGTTGGTATCCGATTGACATCTCTAATAACGTCACTCAGACGTAATTTGCGGCCAACCTATCATAGCCTTTGAAAAAAAATGGCCCCAATGTGTAAAATTGATGCCCGGGAGGGTACTGAAAGTTTGGTGACGATCGGCGCAGCGGTTCTGGAGATATATCGAAAAGTCTGGAGGGGGGCAAAAATAGCCCCCCCCACCAGGGCGCCGGCTTAAAAAAACTGTTTTACTCTTTACCTTAATCAACGTTGAGGCTGTACTGAATAAACCTGCTTCAAAACTTTGGATGTGCGAATAATCATGTAGGTATAATCTTTGGCGTTGTTTACAAATTTTTAGAACAGTAATTACCTAAAAGAGGCCTTGTGCTTTTTGGGTGTTACCTTTCTTTTTCTGATCTATTTGTACATAAGACACACACAAGGACACAACCATGGATTAGGACGCAAATCAATAACACGGACACTGACGCTGTGAAGCGTCACTAACACAATATACCCGAGTCGCAGTCAGAGCACTGACGGTGCCCCTGTTGCAGCCGCTCCGAAAGACAACTACACCTGCCACAGCCTTCAGTTCGCCTGCGGCGACGGCCGGTGCGTCAAAATAACGTACGTCTGCGACGAGGATCCGGACTGTGCCGACGGCAGGGACGAGGCCGTCTGTGAACATTTTCCATCCAGCTTTCAGGTGAGATCGTGCTACGTTTATTGCTGAGTTTTTGCATGAACATCATATAGTGGCATCGTATGGTGGTGATGGTGAAAGACAGTAAAAAATAACTCATCGCGTTTGCCCTTCACAGAGTTTCGTAGGATACACCGCCAAAGTCGATGATGTGACTGGGATCGTCTCGCGAGAAGGCAACGTCGGTGAAAAAACGTGCCAGTTTCTGTGTTTGGCCGACCCGTCCTGCTATGCCGTGATGTACGAAATACTCATCAAAAACTGTCTACGCATCACGACACCGCTAGGTCCACGACTCCGGCTGAAAAATAACTTGGCCGCGCTCACCAACGTGCACGTGGTGCTGGACCGGCACACGCCGTGCGTCGGCCACCGGTGCGACGACTTCCAGTGTCTGAACAGGACGGACGTCCGGTGCGACGGCGTCGTCGACTGCGAGGACATCTCTGACGAGCTGCACTGTGCCGCTGTCGCGTCCGTGCCGCTGCGTCTGGTGGACGGCGCCGCCGCCGGCTCCGGGCGACTTGAGGCCCAATACCTAGGCCGCTGGGGTAGCGTCTGTGACGACGGCTTCAATAATCGCGCCGCCGATGTGGCCTGTCGGCAGTTGGGCTTCCAACGACACCGACGCCTGTTCAAGAACGGTCGCGGCTACCCGGCCGGTGCCGGCGCCGATTCAAACTTTTCCATATCGTTTTCGGTGTGTGACGGCGATGAGGAGCAGCTGGCCGACTGTGTGCTGCTCTACAAGGAGGACCGCTGCATCGCTGGCGAGCACGTCAGCCTCGAGTGCACCGACGAGCCGGGCCTGTGCACCCTGTTTCAGAACTTCTTCGAGTGTCTCGACAGCTCGGACTGCGTCGCACCGTCACAGATGTGCGAGTAAGTACGCGTTGTGGCCGTCCCTTTGCTTTGCAATTAAAAGGAGGGGACTTATACAGGGTGGAACAGCACAATCGGGAGTAAATATCAAACGGGTTTATATGGACATGAATGTAAAAACACAGCTCAAAGCTCTATTTTAATAAAATGCCATCAATCGGTCACCTTTACCCGTCATCCCACATGACCGCCCTCCGCGTCGATGACCTCAATGCGTAGGTATTTTGATAGTCCATTTTTTGTTTCCAGCGGCGAGGCGCAGTGCTCGGACGGCAGCGACGAGTCGGAGGATGTGTGTCCCAAACAGCAAGTGCGGCTGCAGCGGGACCTCCCCGGCCGACCGGCTGCCGTCGAGGTCAAACCGAAAGGCTCAGAAAGGCCGTTCCTGAGCGTCATCAACCTGCCGTTCGGGGACCGCGAGGCCAACGTAAGACACGAGTTTTTGGTAAATTCGGCTTCTTACGAATCAGTATAAGCAATATCATGAAGGAATTCATTTCCAGAAATCTGGAAGCGCTGCCACAAAACGCAACCAAACATTGTTACAAAATCATGTGGTCAATTTCTTTTTTTTTTAACGAAAAATGCATAGGTCAAAATTGTAACGATATATTTTTGAGTTTTTGACATACCAACATGAGTTTAAAGGGACCCTCCCACCTTCAAAAAAGTTTATGAATTGGCATGAAAGTGATGTCGCTCGGTTTAGAAAGAGCGAAAACGAATATCTACCAAATTTCACCGAAAAATATTCACCGGTTTTCAAGATATTAGACTTTTACTTTTGTTTACTTTTTTGGGACCTCCGCTGTTTCTAGCGACTTTATTTTAGAAGTGCGGCGTTTGCGGCAGATGTTGCGCGCAAATAGCATATACCACCGCGTGCTACAAAACGTTTTAGTCAAACATTTAAAAATCGTTAGATATTTGCGCTGACGTCACACATTCAGAGGGGTATTCCTAAGCATTAGCCCCTCTGAATCAAAATGCTGCAATTTAAAAATTCAATATTTCCGATTTAAGGCATTTCTCGATGTTGTGAGTGCCGAAACCGGTAATTGTGAGCCAGGGACCCCATTTTGGCTATCTCAACTCAAATCTAATGTTAAGGTGGGAGGGTCCCTTTAAGTTTCAAAATTTTGAAAATCAGAGATAGCAGTTTGAAAACGCCAAGAGCTAGCTTCAAAACTGGACTCTAGGGATTGATGTACCTATAGAACCATGTTTAACATCAGAATTGACCGGTCATGACGTCACTCTGACGCCATTTTCGGCGGTTTTGTTGGGGTCTCCACATTTTCTGTTGTTAGGATGCACAGAATAGATGCTAGAAGGAGTTAACCAAGTTTGGTAGCCATCATGGCCTTCGTCCTTCGCTTAGGTCTAAGAGATATGAGCATAAATCAATGATCTGACCTAACCTGAAAATACAGTTGGATGCGGCTTGCATCAAGAGTCAGGTGTTTCGCTTTCAGCGTTCCAAGCAATCGCGAAAAAAAAACGTCTGGAGTGACATCTCCATCCCTCTACCCCCTTAGCAGGCGAGGGTTTAAGGTAGGCCATGTAACTGACACGCAGAATAAGCCAATGTCCATATACAAATTTATTGCGAGTCCTTCGTATGTATCCTATACATGTACCACCGTTGACCGGCTACTGTCGCTCTGGTGGGGCGGCCTATCTGTGGTTCGGCAGTATTTGTGCGGCGCCCTCGGCGGCGGCCCGTACGGAGTGCCCATGGAGGACGTCGGCCTGCTGCCGGAGCGGGAACTGGCCGCTCAGCTGGTGTGCGGCGCAGACGACTGCGTCATTCACTCGACCACGCCCAGCGCCGGGGCGCACGCGGCCCGCCTGCGCTGCGAGTCGACGCCGCCGCAGCCGGCAGAGCTGCGCCTGGTCGGCGGCGACGAGCGCAGCGGGATACTGGAGCTGCGGCCGCCGCGGGCCGACTGGGGACGCGTCTGCGCCGCCAGCTTCACAGACGCCCAGGCCCAGGTAGGTGGCGCCATCCAATACCAACAACATCATGCGTGTTATATGATATACCTACATATGTCATACGGTCGCCCGCTCACAACCTCTCCGACGTGTCACTTTTGCTGGGGACTTTTTGTAGGTACGTACAGCATTAAATTGCGATTTGTATGCTTGACCAGTGCCTTATTGGAAGCAAGGCTATTAGAAGCGTAGGTACCATGGTCAATTCGTGATCCTACATCGCGGGATAATTCGGGCGGTCCTCAACATCTGATGTAGGTCTATAGCTAGGCATGCGTAAATGCGTTAGGTAAATATGCTTGATGTGGGTATGACCCTTAGTGCATAATGTAATATGTATGTGTTACGGGTCATATGCTAACTTGGGCAGTATGCAAACTACCCGGGCAGTATGCAAACTACCCAACAGTCCGGGCAGTATGCATACCGCCCGGGTAGTATGCATACTACCCGACCCCTTGGGCAGTATGCATACCGCCCGGGCAGTTTGCATACTGCCCGGGTAGTATGCATACTACCCACCTTTTCTCTCACGGGCAAGATGTTTACTCGGGCAATATGCTGACCGTGGCCCGTGAGACCACTTAATGCAATAGCTCACATATACATGTCAATGACAGACGCTTTAACCCGCGCCGGGGCGGTGCTCGGCGCCAGTCGTGCCGGGCTGGGGGGGGGGGGGGGGGGGTGAACACCCTGTTCGACTCCCGTGCCACTTAGCGGAACAGAAGTAAGCGGCATGTAAGATGCGGTAACCGGCATTCGAAATAGCGTCAAAGATCATGACGAAAGTGCCCTAGTCATTTTTAAGGTCAGGTCAAAGAAAAAGGCAACAGAGGCTATCAAAGATCAAAGTTCGTCTTTTCATTTTTTTTTTTAAATAAATTCTCCCATAACTCGGAAGATAGTAGAGCTACAGCGCCGCAGAAAGACGCATTCGATAGCTCTTTTAGCGCTTTCTGGAATAAATACTCGAAGCTGATCTAAGTTCAAAATTTGACCTGAGGTCAAGGTCATGACCTGACATGAAAAGGGCATGTTGTTTATCAGCCGCTCCTTATCGTCGAACTGAACACATCTAAGGTTGTTTCCATGACCATCGCTCCAACACGTCTCCATAAAAAATAATGGAACAAAGAACAGGCGTCCTTGAAGTTTCTCCTGTCAACTTCTTAGGGAGACTGTGCAAAATTGACTTGACCTTAAGTCAATGGTATGATAGGTATCAAAATTCAAATACGTGCATTTTGAACCTAACGTTACTCTTATTAATCGCTTTAAGTTTCAAAGCGATCGTTCGGTCCGTGTAGCAATGGCGAGCATTCTAACTTTTTCTGGGGTAAGGTCGCTTAACCTACCTGGTAACCCGACCATAACAACTTGTAACGTCTTACATGCAAATGGTTTCATGCAACATTAGCTATTGAAACTATAATAACGCCCTCTACAGGTCCAAGTAAAGCATCATTTCACCCTTCGATCGATAAATCACGTTTGACGGCAAAAAAGACTTCGCGATTGAACAACGTTACTTTTTAAAATTTAGTCCGAACCTTTTATCCTTTGAATAGAAGGATTCACCGCTAAGCGCAGAGCCCCCGCTAAGCGAAGCTTGTTGCGGCAACCCTGCCGTTTACCCTCCGATCGCGCAATGCTGGTTCTATGGCAGAATTTGGAGTCCAAAGTTTAAAGTGCGCACAGAGCCGCGCACGGCCGGTCCTCTCACTGACTTCGCTTGGCTACGGCCTGCCACAAACCGCAATCATACCTGTAAGGAGGCTCATTAAACGTCAATCGCCCGCCTCACGCTTCAAACCCGGACTGTTATAACCGGGAACGCGTGCTCTCACCACGCGGAGTCCAACGCTCTACCGACTGAGCTACAGCACCGGCCAATACTAATAGAGCCATTAATACTTTTAAAATGGACATGGAATACACAACTTCAAGACAAGAAGCGGGCAGTATGCAAACTGCCCGAGCTTTTGGGCGGTATGCATACTGCCCAAGGGGTCGGGTAGTATGCATACTACCCGGGCGGTATGCATACTGCCCGGGCTGTTGGGTAGTTTGCATACTGCCCGGGTAGTTTGCATACTGCCCAAGTTACAGGGTGCGCCATAAAGATTTACCCATCGAAAAATGCACTGTATTTCCAAACGAGTTGACATAGGTAAGCCATTTTTTGCACACAAGTCACGAGACTATCTCCGAACAGGCTAGTCTGGCCGATTTCAGATGTGTTCGCCTTTTGCCTTGATCACACGTCTGAGACGCGAGGGCACTTCAGCGCACGTCCGCCGCACGGTCTCCTCGCTGATCCCCCTCCACGCTCTGAGGAGGTCGCGTCGCAGGTCGACCAAGCTGCTGTGGGGGACGTGGCAAGCCTGCCTCTCTAAGATAGACCAGATGGAAAAGTCCATGGGGTTTAAGTCTGGGCTGGACGGAGGCCAACAGTCCTTGGACCAGAACGCGCTCATGTTCTGCCGGCACCAGCTCTGGGTGTTGGCCGCTGTGTGGGCCGGCGCACCGTCTTGAGTGAAGACATACTGGTCGCCGTACCTCTCCTTCAGCCAAGGGAGCACTTCCCTCTCCAGCATCTGCACGTAGATGGCGCTGTTGACTTTGACTCCAGGTTCCACGAAGACCAGAGGAGATTTGGAGCCGTCAGAGCCAACAGCAGCCCAAACCATCATGCTTTCTGGTTTCTGTCTTCGAAAATGATACTTTTTTGTTGCAGGTATGTCTTCGGTACTCTTGGCGTATACCCGGTCGTTTTGGTTGTTGGATACTGACTCTACGTTGAAAATCTTCTCATCCGACCAGATAAAGGCCTTTTGACCGGCGGACTTCATCTCTTCCAACATTGTTGTTGCCCTGCTCAGTCGCTTTTTCTTGGAACTTTCTGAAATCGTGTGCCGCTTTGACATCTTGTAGGCCTTCATTCTTAGCCTCCCTTTCACGAGTCTCCTCAAAGACGTTTTTGAGATATGCATCTCTTTTGACATCTCCCTCAAACTCCTCCTTGGATTTCTGGCTATTCTCTTCTTTACGGCCTCGGTGATACTTGAAGTCAGTACAGATCGTTTTCTGCCTGGAATTGGTCTGTCAGATGTTGTGCCATTCTCATTGTACCGTTTCATTACATTGTAAATGGTTTTACGGCACGCACCGACCTCTTTTGCAACGGCCCGGTCAGTGAAGCCGGCATTTTTTAGTGCAACGATTTTGTCACGTCTGCTTGTCCGGGTCATGGTGCATAAACTGTGTTATTCACCTAAAAAATAATTTGTTTTACATAAAAGTCACGTGTTTGCCTCGCGCATGCGCAATTTTCGGACCTCTATGTCTAAAAATAAAGTTTTGGCGAACAAGTTTGTGATGGGTAAATCTTTATGGCGCACCTTGTAGCATATGACCCGTAACATATGCATATTTACCTATCTAGCTCATAGGGTGAAAAGAAGTTCACACCGTGGTACTCGTTCAACAACCCAATCATAGGTACATACCTACGTACTCGTACAATAGTCGCCTGATGGTTGAATCACGCAAATGTGATTGTAGAAAAGGCCCACAAAACAACAATAGGCCAGCGTCCTCTTACTGCGACGTTGGAAGGAGCATTTGATTGTGTCCGCCGCACACGTCCTTACCGATAGATCACACCGCTGCCTGCACACATGGTCACGGAGCTCGACATTACAGGTGGTTTGTCGTCAGCTGGGATTCAGCGGCGAAGCCATGTTTTTGGAGATTCCGAGGGACCCCAACAGCACTGTGAGCCTGCGAGCGATGGACTGTCTGGGCCACGAGAGCAGCATTGCTGAGTGCGTCCGGCTGCCCTGGATCAACACGGATGAACCGGAGGTGGGTAACAGCTGACACACACGTCAGTTGGTAGACATAGATTGTTTGGCCAGGAAATCTTATTGTTTACAGTTGTCAGAAATTCTCATCGGAACTGCTTGCATTGAAAAACTCAAAGCTTTTTGTTTGTAGGTTTTATCTGGAGGTTTTGATTTTTTTCTTTAAGTTTTTTTTTTACACACACACGCACACCCCTTTCGGTCGATTGAGACCATTTCAGAGTCGAGTCATTTTAGGCATTAGGAAAACGTTCGTCAGGGCGGCCATTTTGATGCATCGCGGCGGCAGAGCACGTGCCTGAGGGCAGGTCACCCATCAGCGTTGTCACTCCACCCTTCTTGAGAGTTTTTATGTGGGCGAGGATGGATGACATGATTATGATTAATATAAGGAGGCTTGAAATGATCTCACGCATGTCAAAGTGTTTTTATTTTAGGCAAAATAAATATCTAAAACAGTAAAACAAGCTTTCGGCGTAATGCCGAAAGCTTGTTTTACTGTTTTAGATATTTATTTTGCCTAAAATAAAAACACTTTTACATGCGTGAGATCATTTCAAGCCTTCTTGAGAGTGTCGAGGAGCTACTTATGTCATATGACGGTGGCCAGTGGCTACCCACCTGTCATGTTTTTGTGAATTTAAGCCTTAAGGAGAAAGGCCCGTCCTGAGGAAAGATCAAGGGGATCAAAACACATTTATAGAAGTATGACCTCTCACTGCATGTTTCACACTACATATATATTGTTTTACAGACCAATCCTCCCTACACCAACGTAAGCCGCATGTATTATTGGTGTGATGCCAGCTATATGGTTTGGGCGGAGGTGGCTGGCTGCGTTTGTCTGACAGTGCCTTGCGGGCCCAGGTGTGCGGTGACAGTGGTGAGGCGTACGTCTCCTGTGACGGCGCGGCGTCACGGGATGTTCCGGCCCAGCAACTGACGGCCCAGTGCGCCGCGCGCGACGCCGACCTCAGCCGAGTTCTGAACGGCGAGACCGGCCAGGTGCCCGCCTACGCGCAGCTGCAGATCATTGTGCTCAGCAAGTGGAAGACGCGCTGCGGCGCCACCGTGCTCAGCGAGCGCTTCCTGCTGACGGCCGCCCACTGCGTCCAGCCGACGCGGACGGAGCGGCTGAGCGGCGTGAAGGAGCTGACCGTGTCGCGGCTGTCGGCCCTGCTCGGGGACGGCACGCGCGCGGCCGTGCGCCGCGTCATCGCCCACCCCGGCCACCGGATGCTCGGCGACAACACCGACGACCTGGCACTGGTGGAGCTAGAGCGCGAGCTGACCTTCTCGGCCACCGTGCAGCCGGCCTGCCTGCCGCCCGAGGACGCCCCCTACTCGCCCGAGCTGGCGTGCTCGGTGGCCGGCTTCGGCAGCACGCGGCCCTCCTTCGGCACCGCTGCAGATGTCGGGTCCTTTGTGGCGGCCGACACGCTGCAGGTCGCCAACGTCACCTTCTTCACGCGCGATGAGTGCGAGACGTTCTACGGGCGCTACAACGTCACGCTGGGCACGGTGTGCGCCGGCGACGCTCAGTTCCGGGTGGACACGTGCGTGGGTGACTCGGGCGGCCCGCTGTTCTGCCGACTAGGCGACTCGGTCACCCTCATGGGCGTCACCAGCTGGGGCAACGGCTGCGGCCGGAAGGACCAGCCGGGCGCCTACATGCGCGTCGCCTCATACGTCCGATGGATCCAGGAGGTGGTGCAGGCCGCATCAATCGCCTGAGCCTAGGGTGGAATTCGCTGAGGTTTTCTTGGGGTCCGTCACTAGACCAAGACCAGCCACCGCGGGCAGCGACTGGTCTGAGCTCAGGTGTCGGACCGGTACTGGAGGGCATTCGCGCAGATCAGAGCCGCTGCACGGCACCCGCACTGCGTGCAGAGCGGCATTGTTTTGGGGCTCATTTATACTCATGGGACGTCGGTTAGATTGTGTACATATCAGGACGACGGATATAGGTTTAGCGTGTGATGTGTTTACACAGAGTTTCTGGTAGTCAGATAGGGACATTACTAAGGCCAAGTCACTGCTTAGTGCTTAGACATCATAGGTACATATACAACAGCGTCCAGTAATAATATTACGTAAAGTAGGTATGTGTCTGTTGTGCCTTTTTACAACATTACGTGACTTATTGCACAATTGTGTCTACCGCTTGCTACTCTATCAGTGTTTTTATTTGCCACGATCTGGTTATTTCTGCGTTTCAAATAAATACTCACGCTCATTTATTGCTTATATATCAAGGGCAAGATGGAGCATTGAATCATAAATTGGTGCCTACGAAGTTCTAACGCTGTCGGTAATGCTGGCGCCGCGGGTCAAATCGATGACGAATGCTGGGCCCGCCAGTCAGGAAATGCGACTATCATTTATCCGGGACCGGCCCAAGTGGGACTGGTGGCACGGATCCAGCACACAGCACACAGGCCTACTATAATAGGCCACGCGGGGCATGCCGCACGGATCCAGTCCGCTGTCGGCTATGTTCACAGGGACAGGGGTCCCGTTCACGGCGGGAAGGGGTCCCGTTCATATAGCAGATCGGACCCAGTCCGCAAGGCCAAGGGTATCCGTTCACAGGGGAACAGGTCCTGGCCCCAAAGGAGTACAAGTACATCTCACAGAACACAGACAAAGTTTCTTTGTCCAGAAATGTCTCAAAAACGTCCAGCCAAGCAGGGAGCCATAGGAGATAGATATCACTAACATCAACGAGCAATAATTGGCAGGATCACGTAAGAGCTAGTTGCATGATAGAGTTTCACATGCAGGCATCTCAGAGAGCTACGTTCATAGGCACATTTAAAGATACTTAAGGGGTACAATTTATGACTGCAGGGATAGGGCTCAGTCTGCACCAACACGCTTTGCGCGCGGGTACACGGCGGAGCGGTCAGCGGTGCGCTCTAGAGAAATATCCACGCACACCAGTCGCTCCCAAGCGCATCGTTTATATATGTAGGTATGCACCAGGTGACGGATATTGCAGCAAGTGACGACTTTGCCCATCAAGCTAATATCACTGAGGAGCACCTGGGACAGCAGAACGGTCACAATTATGGCGTTCCTGATGTCAACTCTCATCTGTCCTAATAACGACAAATGCTGCAACGACGAGCCCTGAGGCGCAATGGTGATGTGACGGTGGTTGTTCACTGTCCACCTCAGTGGGTCCACAAAGGCCAATGGAGACGTGCAAACAGGGATTAACCCTCGCACGACCAGGCCATTTCTCATAACACGAACGACCAGGGGGGGGGGTTGTTACGACCCCCCCCCTGGCGTTTCGAAACGGAAGGTCGTAGAGCTTAGCGGAAAAAACCAACGGATTGCTCTCAACGAGATCTCGCAATTGGTGGTATATTTTTTGGTCCTAGGTCAACATTTGACCTACTTTTGACCGGTCAAAGGTCAAATTTTCGGAAAAATAGACTTTTTCAACTTTCGGCGGCGATTGCGGCAAAACGGTAAGAGATATCGACTTTAAACCTTCACTATCGTGTTCCTTAATCAATTCTCTATCGTTTGGTATGTATTTCGTTTCCCTAGCTCTAAAAATGGCGCGTTGGGAGCGCCGGAAGTCGGCAAGGTCACAGTCGGCGGCAGAAATTCGAAAAATCAAAATTTAAATTTTTGAAATCTGATTGTATTTTTGGATTTGGGAGGTCCATTTGCTCCCTATAGAAGCTAATATTGCTGCATATTCCCATTGAGGTGACAAGAATTAGCAAAATAGTGGTTCGGGCGCTTTTCAAAAATAGTACCGGACGCTGTTCCTCTTGTGACGTCATAGCTCCGTGACCTGACCTGACCCGGTCAAATTTCTTATACCATATGATAGCCAATACTTGCCCCAACATGCATGGGAAGTTTCATCACGATCCATCAACCGATGTCCGTACCACCGGCAGGAAACCTCGGGCGTTGGCACTCATTTGTGAAAATCCGGCCGGAGGCTGTACCTCTTATGACGTCATAACTCCGTGACCTGACATGACCCGATCAATTTTTTTCGGCAAAAGATGGGCAAAGGTTGCCCCAGAGGGTATTGAAAATTTCAGCCCGCTACGACAAGCCGTTTAGCGTGCACTTCGAAAAAACCTCAGGGGGGTTGATACAACCCCCCCCCTAGGCGTTCTAGGGTTAATACAAGGCCAACAAATAACAATGTACCAACGTTCGACAATTAACGGTGTACTTTTCAGAGTCTCAAGAGTAAAGCCTGTATTTTTAATTTAAATGATGGCAAATATTTCGACCCCCATTGAGGAGCCTTTTTCAATGCGAAATTACATGGAAAAGTAAGCGATGCAGACTACAGGCTTTACTCTTGAGACTCTGAAAAGTATACCATTAATTTATCAACCTGAGTAAAAGTAGGTATATAAGATGACTTAGTCCCACTTAATGTTCAACAATGTGACAACATTGTTGTCAACAATGTACGGGGACCCGCAGTTGCTACTATACAGCGACCCTGAGTAAATTGTCCCAGCACCCTCACAGGGAACAACGATAAGCTGTCAGAGGACACGCACAGAAAACCTCAGCTCTTGTACAGGGACCGGCAGTCGATATCAATGTTATCGGTTGTTACTGGACATGACAGACGGCTAGAGTTGGGGTTCGTGTACACTGTACAGTATAGCAACTGCGGGTCCCCGTACCAGGATATGGTACAGACATAGACTACTGTATTACAGAATAAAGTACTCTATGGTGCAAAATATGGCTTTTCATGTCAGCGGCGTACAAACTACATTAACCCGCGCCCGGCTGGGGGTCCTGGATTTCCATGCCCTGCTGGGGGGGGAGGGGGTGTTTGAACACCCCCCCCCCTCCTAACTCGGCTCCTGGGCCACGTAGCGATACGCGGAAGGCGGCGTTCGAAAGAGCGCCAAAAATAATGACGAAATCACTTCAGTCACTTTTTGGTCAGGTCAAAGGTCAGGTCACCAGAGGTTCTTGAAGGCAAAATTTCGCCGATTTTCAGGTCGAATGTCGACAGTTTCCAGGAAGCCAACGCATAACTCGGGAACCAATAGAGCTACAGCGCCGCGGAAAAGCGCATTCGATAGCCCAACCCTATTAGTGGCAGGGGGGGGGGGGGGTGTTTTCATCCACCCCTCAGGTTTTTCGGGAATATCTCCAAAACCGCTGAAGCTACGATGCTGAAATTTTCTGACTTTTCCTAAAACTAAATTGGGCACATTCCCTGAAAATTTCAAGCTCATAACTTTACCAGGGGCGGCTCCAGAGCACTGGAAATTGGGGGGTCCTATTCGTGAAGCGAGTCATTTGGGCGAAGATCACGATGCTGATGTATTATAACTGTATGCACCAGTTTTACGAACAGTGAATGAAAGGTATCATGTGATCAGGGTTGTGCTTGACTCATGAGTCGAGTCAGAAATTTGACTCAACTCTGACTCAAATGAGTCAGATTTGAGTCGGGTCGGATAAAATGTTGAGCTGTTGAGTTGAGTCAGAGTTGAGTCAGACAAAAATATTAAAGGGACTATCCCACCTTTAACATGGGGTTTATATATATATATATATATATATATATATATATATATATATATATATATATATATATATATATATATATATATATATATATATATATATATATATATATATATATATATATATATATATATATATATATATATATATATATATATATATATATATATATATATATATATATATATATATATATATATATATATATATATATATATATATATATATATGGCAATGCTCATTAAATGATAAAGCAGCTTTTCCGTTTATAAGCTTACGGCTTATGGACTCTAGTGCCCTTATAGCTTTCTTATTGCTTTCAACATGTTCAAAGGTATATATGTTACGGGTCATATGCTAACTTGGGCAGTATGCAAACTGCCCGGGCAGTATGCATACTACCCAACAGCCCGGGCAGTATGCATACCGCCCGGGTAGTATGCATACTACCCGACCCCTTGGGCAGTATGCATACCGCCCGGGCAGTATGCATACCTCCCGGGTAGTATGCATACCACCCACCTTTCTTCTCACGGGCAAGATGTTTACTCGGGCAGTATGTTGACTACACTTCGTGAGGCTTGTTAATGCATTAACTCGCGTATATATGTGAATGACAAACGTTTTAAACTTCCGGGTGGGGGGGGGACATTTTTTGTCCCCCTTAGTGTTTTTCGATATATCTCCAGAATTCCGCTGCGCCGATTGCCACCAAACTTTCAGTACCCTCCCGGGATCGTAGCTATTACACATTGTGACTAAAAATTTTTCCCAAGGCTATGATAGGTTGGCCGCTAGTGACGTCGGAGTGACGTCATTTCTGCCATTTTCGACCCAAAAAGGGTTTCGCAGGAAGAGCTGTCAGGCCTACAGCTTTATAGATACAGAAAATGTTTAAGAATAGGTATAAAAGGTGTCGAATTAGAGGGCTACAAAACTGCTATTTCGGATTGTTTTAAATTTTTAGATTTTGACCCCCCCCCCCCAAATCAAAAAAGTAATTTTTTTAATATAATAGGCAAAAAATCCAAAAAGTTTTTTATGAATTTCGAAAAAAACGGAAAATATGTGATAGTCCCTACCGCCTTCTATCCACATACCAAATTTGAGATTGATTCCTCTTTTTTGGCAAAGTTATAGCGAAAAAAGAACTGTTCAAAATTGATGACGTCAAATTTTGTCGTCGTCGTTTCATTTTACTCTGTTCACGCTTCACAATGACAATGACTTGTTGGCCACTGGTTATTCAACAATGGATTTGGGAAAAAGTAATTTCAACACTTTATTCCAATCCTCATTCCATCCTACGATCGATCAATCACGTTTGAAGACAAAAATTCTTCTCGGTCGATCTATTGTTATCTAGAGAGCCATTTATATTCTTAATGTGGACATGGATTACACAACTTTAAGTCGGAAAGCGGGCAGTATGCAAACTGCCCAAGCTTTTGGGCGGTATGCATACTGCCCAAGGGGTCGGGTAGTATGCATACTACCCGGGCGGTATGCATACTGCCCGGGCTGTTGGGTAGTATGCATACTGCCCGGGTAGTTTGCATACTGCCCAAGTTAGCATATGACCCGTAACATATATATATATATATATATATATATATATATATATATATATATATATATATATATATATATATATATATATATATATATATATATATATATATATATATATATATA